AGTGGGAGTAGTACTTTCGCGACGTCTGCGCCGAGCACTACAGAAGGAATCCTCTAGTTATTGGTGGGTTCGGATGTACAGTGGAGATTGACTACGCTGGTGGCGAGAAGGGAGTATAATTGTGGTCGTTTGGTACGCAGACACCAGTGGCTCTTTGGCGGTATCCAGAGAGGGAGCGGACGAGCATTTTTGAGGCTGGTGCGAAGGAGGAACGCTCCGACTCTGCTTCGTCTTATCGGAAAGTTTATAAGACCTGGCACGACGATCATTAGTGACTGCTGGAGGGCATACAGTCAGATCGCCGCACTGCCCAATGCCTACCGACACCTCCAGGTCAATCACCAGTTGAATTTTGTAGACCCACAAACTGGTGCCCATACTCAAAACGTAGGGTCGCTGTGGCAGAAATAGAAAGCGATGTGCAAGCTGCGCTTTGGAATTAATAACTCACGCTACAAGGACTACTTGTGCGAGTTCCTATGGGAAGAAGGAGTTCGGAGTTCGACGGGAGGTCGTTTTCAATTTCTGGGATCAAGTTGCGGCACTATGTCCCTGCTGAACGGTCTAGCATCTCACGTACACTAACCCAGCGGCCCTCTCTAGAGCCACATTTCCGATATTGAGCCTTCAAGGGGGAGGGGGAGGATGGAAAGGCAGAACACTCCTTGAGACTCGCTCCTTTTCCAGAGCTCAGTCTTAGAAGTCACCACCCTTCTCTTTACCACGAGCCATATGGCGTGGCCCAATAAAGGTTTTATTCGTTGTTTGAGGACACAGAAATGGATGTTATATTCGTCATCAGTACCTCAAATAACCCCTTAAATGCAAGTTTTTAGCAAATTTGGTGGAAACCAAAAGTGAAGGTCATATCCCTTATTAGGGCATCGGATTACCCCTATAGGCGAAGTTTATTGAGAATTAGTTTAATCGAAAATTAAAATTTTGAGTTTTTGGGGGTGTAATAGTAGAATAGTAATAAAGAAAGATTGTAATTATCTTTGCAGGAATATATAACAATGCAAGACGAAGTGGGTGTCGAAAAAAAGAAGTCACCCAGCGGAAATGTAGAAGAATCAATTTCAGCAAGAGTGCGAAATTTTCTCCTACCAATTAAGCTTAAACATTATGTATCGGCAGTAGTGCAGGCTGCAAAAAGAAAAATACAATGAAGGAGGAGAGTCAAATACATATTTTTTGCAGAAATCTGCAACAAAACAAGACTCTGATGAAGAACAACGAAAGAAGAGATCTACCACGAAAGAAGAGCAATTGTTGGCTACTAATGTAAGAAGATTTTGATCTCCCATTAGATGAACTAAAGCAGAATGGTAACATTTTCTGTAGAAGAGGAAGCAAAAGGATTGTAGCTGTCCTTGCAGAGATATACTACATCAATGCAAGACGATGGCGGTGCCGAAAGAAGGAAGTCGTCTACAAGGAAAAGAGAAGAGTCGAGGATCATGACTGTGAGGGTTCTGTTTAGGATTGTTCACATTTGAACGACAAGAAAATATTCGCTTCCCTCACTTCAACTCTTTCGAAAAACCGAAATAGGCCTGAGAGCACATCTACCCTCAAGGATAATGGCGAAATGTCAACAAACGAAGATTGATTCATCTCATCGAAACTGACTGACCAAACTGGCCATTAGGTGACCCTGCCTATGAAATAAAAAGAAAGGTCCAGATAAATGTACTCCGGTATATTTGCAATTCGTAGGTTGTAGTTGTATACAAAATAAACAGACGAAATAGCAATAAGTGTTTCGTCACAGAAGAAGCTTTTTTCCAAAAATACTTATTTATGCGTAAGTATCATATATCAACAAATCCTCACAAATCAATTAAATTCAACAATGAATTTCCTTTATATTTTGAGCATAAAATAGGAAACGAGTAGGGTTGAACTTTGAAAGCAAAACAGAACCAGGAGAAACGATACTCAATCTTTTGCAGGGATCGCCTTCTCACCAAAGAGAACAAGTTGCAACAGAGGTCGCAGCTGCGAAGTCAGAAGAAGTGAAGGATCGTAAGACAATAGGTGAAGTAGAGGAAGGCAAAGACCTGGCCGAAGCACGTACAGCTGCAGCGGAACCCACAGCAATGCAATCAGAAGAAGTGAAGGATAGCAAGCCAGCAAGTGAAATAGAACAAGGCAAGGACCTGGCCCGAGCACGTAGAGCGGAAGCGGAACTATCGGCTGCGCAGTCAGAGGAAGTGAAGGATCGCAAGACAGCA